GATAAAATAAATGCTTTATACTTTCTCAGTATTCCTGAAGGTGCTCCTCATAGGTAAAGTGATTTTAAGAAAATTAGGTATTGAAACTTAAAAAACTCAGCATGTTTTCATGCTATTAATAATTGTGTCTAATACCAGTTGTTTAACAGAAGGCTGTAAATTAATGGGAATTCTGAATTAAACTCCAGGTGTACCATTATTTTGTAGCACATTAAGTTTGCCTTGTGGAAATTGCTTTTATGAAAATAATACATTTAAAATATTAAATATTTTTTTGTTTATAGGAATTTTTCATCTCTTTGATTTTACATGCTAGTAATATTTGCAAGTTAAATTGTATATATTATGCAAATAGAATCCTATTTTATTTATGTATTTTTTTAATCCTCACCGGAGGATATTTTTTCCATTGCTTTTCAGAGAGACTATGGGGAGGGGGGAGAGAGAGAGAGAGAGAAAGAGAGAGAAACATTGATGTAAGAGAGACACATCGATTGGCCACTTCCTGCACATGACCTGACCGAAGCTGGGGATCGAGCCTGTAGCCGAGGTACATGCCCTTGGCCAGAATCGAACAACCCAGGATCCTTCAGTCCAAGGCTGATGCTCTAACCACTGAGCAAAACTGGCTAGGGCAGAATCCTATTTTTACAATGTCTAGCTCTATCTAATAAATTTATTTCTGTTTTCCATGAGATAGTCTTGGCAGATGTGCAAATAATAAACTAGTTAAAGGAAATTCCTATATAGTAGAGTTTTTCTCAAGCCACTTTCTTTTCATCAGTCTTTTTGCCACAGAGTTTATGTTTAGAAATTTTAATGTGATACAGTTTTTATGTGTAGAAATTGTATTTGACTACTTTTACAGTTTACAAAGTTACAAATAAAATGTAATGTGCTTTTCAAAATACTATATTGATGATTTGGGGGGAGTTTGCTTTCCTGGGAGATGGAGTAACGAGTATTTTCTTTGGAAATTGGGAGACTGTTGACTGTCTTGGAGTTTTTGCCCTCACTTCTGTCCCAGTGCCTGTGCTTTAAGCAACAACAAAGATAATATGAATGTTAGTCATTAGGTGTCTCTGAAGCTAGAGTAGGAGCAAGAATCGTTGGTAGTACTGAGGAAACTTTGAGTGGAGAGGTCAGGCTAGTTAGTGTTACATGAATTATGAATTATGAGTTCAAGGAAGCTGTTTAGGATTTGCTGTGCATAAACTTTGAGTTTGTATTTGAATGATACAGATTCAGGAAGCAAAATTATTCAGGATAACTTTCTATTAGGTATAACCTATTGGAAGGTATTTTTGTACAGTACATACATTTGATAATTGAAATACTAAGCAGTTTTAATAATAATTGCCATGGGTTTCAAAAGAATGCTTTTTTATTAAAGGGAACACTTATTTCTCTATAGGGTAGTAGATTTATTAGGGACTTCAAATGACAGTGTCTTGATTTTTAAAAAGAAGAAACTAACTAAAGCAAATTGATAGCCTTGCGAATGATTACATATCACCGCCAGATGCTGAGGAAAGGTATTTTGGCTCCTTTTGAACAAATAGTGATCACTATTCTACTCTTTCCAATTGTCCCTTTTCACTTCAAAATGTATATATATAAAATCTTACACTTAAAAAAGAAAACTAATTTATAAAATTACAATGAATTACCGAAACGTTTTAAGACATGAATTTCCCAAATTTTATTAAGACCATTTCCCCCCTCTTTCTTGTTTTACAGTTGAATGCAGTTATAGCTAAAGGTAAAACATAGTTTGGTTGCTTTGCTTTGGTTACTAACGAATACTCCCTTTTTACATATTTTCTTCATATTTATTGTACGATGAACATTCACTTTGTGGATGCAGTTTAAAATAGAGTATCTTTATATTCAACCACGTCCGTATGAGAATTTAACAGTGGACTTCTTTTAAAAATTAACTTTGGAAGTGGTATAGCAATTGATGATGTTTCTGAGAGCTCTTCTAAAAGGTATCCTTTCTGTACTTTTTGGTTATGTTTATATCTCCTTTGTTTTTAAAGACCTTAATAGTGGAAGTAGAGGTTCTGAACATCTTGAAGAGGGGAGCAGAAACAAGAATGACACATGTTCTCATACAAAAATGGAACCCACTCTGATTTCCAGAAAGAGAAAGAAAAGGCTTAGAAGTAATTTACCTGATTCTCATAATTCTACTTCTTTATATAAGTCAGCAGAACAGACAGTAAGTAGAGGCATTTAGATGCCACCTGAAATAATTTGTGCTATGATAAAAATGAATTGACCATGGCCAAATGATGTTTTTCTGGCTTTCTGGTTTTATCATCAGATTTCTTTTTCTTTGTCTATTTTTTTATTTTTTAAAAATGATTTAAATGAAACTTTTTTTTGCAGTTAATACAGTTATTGGAACAAGTTTTAAATATTATGAATGAGTAAAAAGGTTAAGTTTTAAATATTATGAATGAGTAAAAAGGTTAAGTTCGCCCCTCTTTTGATACTCCTCCTTACTTAGTACTTCAGTATATGTCTTTCAGACTTGTTTTCTTTTTCTTTTCCCTTATTTTAAACAAACACTATTTGTACTGTCCAGTTAATTTCTTTTTCACTTGCTCTGTAAAATTATTATCAGATTTTTTTTTATCAGTAGTAATTTACTTATGAACTCTTTAAGCCTCTCTTATCTAGAGTTTAGGGAATTTTTTGTAAGTAAAGAATCACTATATTTAGTGCATACATTCCCTATTTTCAAAGACTTAGTATTGGGTAACAATAAACATATAAGAAGACAGCTTTTTTATTTCTTTGATTTACAAGGCATTTCAGGACTTTGAGTATCTTTGAGTTATAATTATAAACATGATTTAGATTTATTCAGTAACAGATATGAAGGCAGTGACTGATTTCATAATTTTTTATATTGTTACCTGTTTAAGTTTTTAATTTTTTGTTCTTATTACTGGCCACATGATGTCATATGGCCTCTTTTGTAAAATAAAACTGTAAAAAACAACTTCTTTCATTCTAAAGTTGACTTAGATCATGGAAGACCATCTGAAGCACTTGTAAATATGGGAGTCTCACCATCCTATCCTTTTAAAAACTGTTCAGCCATCAGTTTGGACATACCAAACTCTATGTCTTTATACTTGGGAGACACTGGCAAGAGTAATGTAGTACAACTGTGTAATTTCCTATCCCTGTAGTTATAGAAATGATGTAATATTTTTTACTTTAGGAATTTAAACTTTTTAAAAATTTATTATGATAACCATATTTGAAAAATGCTAATTTTTTAATTCATTTATTTATGTTCAGAAAGAACAAGAAAATGACTCAACAGTATCCTCTGAGTTTGAAAAGCCAAGTGAAAACTATGATCAAGATTCAAAACTGCTTGAAGACATTACACCTGAACCTATTGAAAGTGATTTTACTGAACTATCCTCACTTAATAGTCAGGAGTTGGCTTTGAATGCTGCTCCCAAAAGCACCTCTGAATGTTCAGTCTCTGAAACTTTTGAGAACTCTACTTTCACTGATACTTTGGGGAATTCTGCCCTGGTTGAGAAGGATGAGAATAAGTTGGACACAATGGAAAAGCCTCTTTTAAGTGACCACAATGAAGGGAACCAACCATTGATCTCAGCTGAAACAAGTAAGTAACAGGAGGATTATAAAGCCTCTTAATTTTTTCTGCCATACTTAGTTATTTTATTTCTTCTCTTGAACTAAGGCAGTAAGCCATTTATGATATCACTGTGGGATATATTAACTTTAGGGAAAAAAGAACTTGGGGTTTTGGGAACTAAAGTTTATAATACTGATTTAGATAAAAACAGTGGAATACTCAGAAGCAGAAGTAATTTTTTAAAAAATTAATGTACTGTAATTCATCTTATCAGATTTTAAAAGATTCCATAAGGGCCATTATTACTGTCATTTGGTTGATGAAACTGAAGTACACAGAGTGTAAGTGGTATTTAATTATTGTCGTTAATTTTGATTTAATTAATTTTTTAGTATTTGATGTTGTCACATGGTACATAAAAGGTTCTAAAGGATGTAGAATGAATAGTCTTCCACATCTTCCGCTAGCCATGCATTTCCCCCTCCTGGAAGCAACTAATGTAACAGAATTTAAAGTACAGTTTAGAGTGATGGTACAATATATTATTGGGACTAGAACTTGTTCCTAAGCTCTTCTCATGGCTTGATATGTTTTTAAATGTCTTCATCCTTCAACCTGTGGGTAGCTGCTAAATTGTAGTGCTGATTTGGAAACATTGCACATAACTAGTATAAATCAGATAATGAATGAATGATAGGCCAGTTTCTAAATTGAATAAAGTTAGATGATTAAATTTAATGGGGTTATTAAAGATATATTGCATGAATTAGAAAATTTTGTTATGTGATTATTGAGATACATTTAAAAAAAATTTTTTTATCCTTTTCAGTTGTTGTTTCCAGTGATGAAGAAGGACCCATTGAACATAAAAGTTCAGAAATTCTTAAATTACAATCTAAGCAAGACCATGGCATCACTAATGAAAATCAGAATATTTCTGAATCAGCATTGTCAGAACTACCATTGATTACATGTGAACCTGTACAGGTAATTTATTTCTGCATTCTCATGGATAAATAATGAAATATTCACTATTGGTTAATGACTATTTTTTGTTTCATCAAGGAGAATATTGTAGTAAAAATTATACATTTTAAAATTTATTATTTTTTAAAAAAATATGTTTTTATTGATTTCAGAGAGAGGAAGGGAGAGATAGAAACATCAATGATGAGAGTCATTGACCGGCTGCCTCCTGCACACCCCTTACTGGGGATTGAGCCCACAATCTGGGCATGTGCCCTGACCAGGAATCGAACCATGACCTCCTAGTTCCTCAACCACTAATCCACGTTGGCTGGGCAGCACATTTGTTTGGTTTGAATTTTCTTCTTTTTCTTTTTTTTTTTTTTTTACAGAGGTCAGCCTTTTATTGAATGTGTTACAAAAGGTTTAGTCAGAAAGACCAAAGCCCGTGTCATCATCAGACCCCTCCGACTTCTTTCTTTGCTTCCTCTCTCTCCTCAGCTGGGGCAGCAGCTGTGGAGGGGGCAGGGCCTCCTGCTGGGGCAGGTCCACCAGCCCCTACCTTGCAGATGAGGCTCCCGATGTCGACCTTGGCCAGAGCCTTTGCAAACAAGCCTGGCCAAGAAGATTCAATGTTTACACCAGCTGCTTTAATGAGGACACTGATCTTATCCTCTGTCACTGTCACCTCTTCGTCGTGCAGGATAAGGGCTGAGTAGATACAGGCGAGCTCTGAGACCGAGGCCATGGTGTGGGCGAGTAGCGGGTGGGCGCTGCCCAGAGTGGTGCTAGTCACCGGAAGAAGTGAGGGCCTCACCCCAACGTGGCCTTAGCTTCCTCGGAAGAACCGAGCACCTTACTGGCAGCTGAGGAAAGGGGGCTGGTTTGAATTTTGAGACAGCTTTCATATTAGTTTCAGAGAAATACGTAATTTTTTAAATTTTGAAATGAAAGGATTATACCATTTTTTGCGGTCACTTATATTTTTTCAGTCTAAATATTCTATTACTTGAATGTATATATTTTTAATGGTTCTCATTAGGCATTAAGTACTTTATCAAAACTTTTTCTAGAATTAAAGTTTCCAGTATTTATCTTGTCTTGTAATACTATAATTACTTGGAATTATTCCTTTTCCTCACATGCTATTCAGGCAGTACAATATAGAGGAAAGAGCATGGCTTCTGGAGATATATAGACCTGTGTTCAAATCCTGCCTTTGCCATTTGGGCAAGTCACTTCCTTAAGCCTGAGTTTCCTCCTATGATAAGTGAGGATAGTGACAACAACTTCACAAAATTATTTTGAGTATTAAATGAAATAACATATGAAGAATTTAGAACAGTGTCACAAACTTTTCAGTTAAGACCTTTGTATCTTTATTCTTATAGGACGTAATAAATGGTAGTCTCTGTTGGTCTGATGTCAGCCACTTGTGTTTTTGACATAGCATTTTGAAGAGTCTAGCTCTAAAGTAAGGTTCAAGTCATTTATTGTCAGTATTTGTTCATATTATGAACTTCTGAATATGTTATTTTTAAGAAATGATTATCATTGACCACCAGTACAGAATTATGGTAAACTTCTGTTGGTTTGTTTTTAAGTAAAGTCAGAGGCTGCTATTCTGTAGAGTGTGAGGAAGAATTTGGTCAGTTTTACAAAAACAGTGATGTGATTAGGTTCACCAGTGTTTCTGTTGCATCAGGAACTCCATACAGAGATCACCTTAGCAACTGTGTTCTGAATTTTTGTTAAAATGTAACCATTCTTGCCCGATGGGCCATAACATACTTGATGGCGTAGTTATATTTGTAATTAAAACACTGTCATTGTTGATAATGAGTTTAAACTTGTCAATTATTATAGTTCCTTTGGTAGCATATAAGTTTACAATGCAGTATGAAGTGATCATATTATAAGAAAACAACAGGTCCTGGCCAGGTAGCTCAGTTGGTTAGAGTGTCATCCAGATATGCCAAGGTTGATCCCGGACAGGGCACATGCAAGAAGCAACCAAGGAACGCATAAATAAATGGATTAACAAATTTATGTCTCTCGCTCTCTGCCTCTTTCTCTCTAAAATCAGTCAATAAAGCCCTAGCCTGTTTGCTTCAGAGGTTAGAGCTTCAGCCCGTGGACTGAAGGGTCTGGGTTCAGTTCTGGTCAAGGGCGCATACGTCGGTTGTAGGCTTGATCCCTGGCCCTGGTTGGGGTGCGTGCGGGAGGCAACAAATCTATCTGTCTTTCTCACATCGATGTTTCTCTCTCTCTCTCCCCCTTCCACTCTCTCTGAAAAGTAATGGAAAAAATATCCTCAGGTGAGGATGAAAAAAAAAAGTAAAATCAATCAGTAAATAAAAAATTAAAAGAAAATAACATATCTTGCAGAACTGACAGAATATGGTCAGAACCAAACAACAAATAATGTGGAGACTTGCCAAGATCTATAAGGCCAAATACCAGAACATCTCCACATTCTCCCTTGTTTCCAGTTTTAAATGAAGTTATGAGAAACATGGTTTGCTTATTTTTAGGAGGCAGTTAGTCTGTGCAAAATGTGAGGCCCAATAAGAAATTATTTCTATTCTATCTTGTACTTTTATCACTTAAACACAGAGAGTTCTCTGACTCTGATCAAGTGATTAGAGCAACCTTGTAGTTTTTGCTTCCCCTTTTTATGTAGGGGGTAAGAACAGTATAATAAACAATAAAATATGAGAATGACAAAGAGATTCCATCCAAGCAGGTAAATGCCATTGTGAACTGGGTTAAAAATAGTGAGTACTGTGTACGTTTCAGATGGGGACTAATCACATTTTGTAGCGGTAGGTGGAAAGGTAGTGCACATGTGTAATTGCTCTAGTGATAATTTATTTGGTTCCTTGTGACGTTAGGGGTAAAGAGGGATACTGTGCGAAGGCTAGGCAGATAGGGAGCTGAAAAAGTCATTTCAAAGCAGTGTAAAACTCAGGAGAGGGTGTAGCCACAGCTCCTGCTGATACTGCCTGGTTGTCTATTGTAATTTAAAGCAGAGTTGTGTAGTTGTGTGGAAGTGGTATGAATTTTGAGGTTTTAGCCAACTGGTTGGCTATCCTCAGACATAAAGCATATAGTAAAACAGATTTCATGTAACAGATGGTTTTTAGACACTTCCTTTCATTGCTCACTAAGCTCTTAGTACTAAGAGCATCATCTTGGTTTATGGAAGCAATTTTATGTGGTTGTAATAACCCTTGACTTAGAGATAGAGACATGAATTTGTCTTAGCTTTGCTTTTTACTAACTGCATTACCTTGTCAAGTCACTTAACCAGTCCAAACATCTATTAATTTAAGAAATGGAAAAAAATAACTACCTCATAAAGTGGTTATGGTGATTAAAAGAGAGAATATATTTAAAAATTCATTTTAAACTAAAACACTATATACATCTTAATTTACTTCTGTTGAGTTAAAAATGAATAAAGGGTATATCGAGTTTGAAATCATGGCTTTGATACAGAGGAAGATAATTTCAAGGGCTTAGACCTATGGGATTAATTTAGGATTTGACTGATTTTCTCAAGGTAAATTGTGTACTTAAAAAAAAGTGTTTTTATTGATTTTAGAGAGAGAGGAAGGGAGAGGGGGAGAGAGAGAGAAACACTAATCGACTGCCTCCCCCACTCACCCAAACTGGGCATGTAACCTGCATCCTGGGCATGTGCCCTGACAAGGAATTGAACTGGTGAACTTTTGGTGCACAAAACAGCAGTCAACCAACTGAGCCACACTGGCCAGGGCTAATTCATGTACTTTTTAAGAAAAAATAATCTAGATAATTATTTCCTTACAGTAAGAACAGTATAATATTCTTCAGTTTCAGTAATTTAAAGGAGTATTTGACTTTGGAAAATCATTGTCAGCATTTATATAATACTTAGGGTTATAAGCATTTTATAATTTATTCCTTGTTAGGCTTCATCTGAATCATGTCCTGCTGTAGAAAACATTTCCTGTATTATACCTAGTAACGAGATGGATCTACAACTGGATTTTATATTTACTTCTATTTATATTGGTAAAATAAAAGGAGCTTCTAAAGGTTGTGTTACTGTAAGTATATTAAATTTTTTATTTTATTTTATTATTTTTTTTTTAGTTTTGGATCTTGGACAAGGCATTTCAGATTGTCTTCTTTTTTTTAGTGCAAATGAAAATAGAACAGAATAATTTTATATGGGAAACTTTAAATATATCATTGTACATACTTTATCATTATACATACATGTCTTTAATTGGAAGGGGATTCCTAAAGTCACAGGGGACTGTCCTAAAATTATATTTCTGATCTGATTACTCTACTGAAAATCTTGTATAAAAACTATGTATTGATATTCTTTGGGCTCTAAAACTAATTTGGTGGGAAAGTACATTTTTATTAAAGTTGCAATGGGGAGCACAAACAAGAAATCTAATTAGAGCTTATCTGAAATATTTCCTCTTCCAGGAATCCTTTTTTGATTTCCCCTTCCTAGCCAGAATTAACTTCTCCCTGTACTGTGCACTTACAGCACTTTGGACATCTTTGGACATCTGTTGTAATATTTATTCTATGTGTTTATAATTGTTTATATTCTTGCCTGAACCTCTCTATTAGCCTTTAAGCATCTTGTGGTAAAGAGCCATGCTTTGGTTCTCTTTTATCCTTCCATAAGTGGCTGAAACTTAAGTAGGCCCTAAAACTTCAGTTGAACTGAATGGACTACATCAGATTATAACACAGATATTTTCCCAGAAGTTTTATTAATGTTTTCACTGTGTTAGGAATAGGGCAGGGAATATAAAAATGGTAAGACATGGTCTGTGCTTTCAAGGACCTTGTAGTGTAATGGAAGCAACAGACACTAAAATACTTATGTTATGGTAAAATGTACAATGGAATATGTACAAAAAGGGTACATGTGGGAATGAGTACCTGTATCTGTCTGGAGGAATCAGGGAAAGCTACACAGAGAAGACAGTGAAAGATTTAAAACATAAAGTAGATGTTTACTTGGTGACAATGTGGGGAAAGACCTAATCCCAATAGAGTAAACATTGTGTACAGCTGCAACAAATCCTGTGAACTACAAATAATGATAGCTTGTGATATAAAATCACTTTGATTGAAAGCACAAGAACAATTTAGTTTAAAATTAATATTCCCTGATCACTAGTTTTCAGATATTAATGATTTTGGCATGCTTGGGGTTATTTTACAGTTTTTTTTCTTTATGGAATTTTGTTCACTTTTTATCACCCCCCCCCAATTGCATTTTGCTTTTTTATTTTAAATTCAGGTTTAACCAATTTTCTGTTGAGTTCTTTGTAATGGTAGAAAATTGGGTAACTTCAGCATATGACAGTAATTTATTAGCTGGGGAAGAAAATAAAACTAAATATTCAACAATGGATTTTCATTAATTAATGTATTAATTACATTATTACACAGTCAGGTGGACTTATTATGGGTAAAAACCAAAACCAAACAAAAGAAACTACAAATGAATAAAGGAATAATGAAAAGAACACCTATAATCTTGCTTATCTAGAGACAACGCCGCTGATTCTGAAGTGTATATCATTCTGTATTCTTCATATTAGATATATATGTTTAAAACAAAAAGGTATGACATACATACTGTTTTGTAACTCACCATAATTATATTAAACTAATTTAACTCATGTACCTGTTTTAGGATACTTGGGTTGTCCTTTAGTTCATGAC